AATATATGTACTTCGTAGGGACTAAAATGTATATATCGAGGTGTTACAAACGGAATGACAAACTTAATGTACCCTCCATACTACGGTGGAGGGTAAAAAAAGTTTTTTTTTAAAGGTAAACTTCGATGTTCGATTATTTAAATATATTTTGACTTTTGTTATGATTATTCAAATTGTTGACCCTCTATGGAGTAGATTCCGAAGTAATGGTCCAATATTGTCCATTTCATATCGGACCTCAATAAATATGATATAAATATTGTGACTTGCCAGGTTTGGACTATATTGTTTACTTCCTTAACTTTAGTTTTGGAAAAATTTAAAATGTGGGTGAGGTACCAGGTATAGACGCCCAAAGTATTCCATTTTCATACTTCATCTAATACGGATAAAAATATTGTTATGGGCACCATTACAAGAAGATCGTACATTTATGTCCAATTTATGGGAAATTATATATTCCATATTTATCTCAGGTTTCTGGTTGATAGATTTGTCGCCAATCTATATATGTGTATAGGTATATTTGGATATAGCAAGTTGTAAAGAAACGCAGACGTGTTTTTGAAAATTGCGACCCTTTTGGGGGGAGGTACCAGAAGAGGGTTCGCAAATATATATAATCTTCACAACAGATATCGTGTAAGGGAAAATGTTTGTCTGTGTGAAATTTGAAGAGAGTTGGATGCTTATTTTGATTTCTTTGAGCGTTTTGTTTTTCAAAATCTTGAACCCTTTGTGGGGGAGGTACCAGAAGAAATGGTCCGATCTCTACCATCTTTATAACAGATCTTGTGTTGATGGAAATGTTGAGTTGTACCAAGTATGAATGGAATCGGATGTTAATTTCGCGTTTTCGGAGCTTCCTGGATTTTCAAAATTTTGACCCTTTGTGGGAGAGGTAGCAAAAGGAATGGTCCGATCTTTATCCATCTTTATAACAGATCTTGTGTTGATAGAAATATTGAGATGTGCCATGTCTGAATGGAATCGGCTTTAATGGAATGAGCTTCATGAATATTCAAAATGTTGACCCTTTGTGGGGGAGGAACCTAAAAGAGTGGACCCATATATTCCATCTTCACACCAGACCTTGGGCTAATATTGTGATGTGTGTAATTTGAAGACAATCGGACACATACATCACATTTTATAAGAGTTATAATTATTGAAAGTGTTGACCATTTGTGGGGGAAGTACTTGATGGAGTGGACCGATATTGTCCATTTTCGCACCTGACCTAGCACTGATGGAAGTATTAGGATTTGGAGCAAAATCGAATTATCATTTCTCTTTCTGTGCGGAAAAATAATTTCCAGGAGGTGTGGAGCGATATTGCCCATCTCCGAATTCCATCTAAGTATGATAGTAATATTATGAATGTTATCGTCACAGCAGCCAGACGGATATCGCTAGATCGACTTCAAATATCCTGATACGGATTTGGTCCAAAGAGACCTAGTGTCTAAAAGGGTCATTTTGATATGTATTATATTTATTTCTTATACTTTTTGGCCTAAAAGGCTTTTGCTATATGAAAAAATCAATAAATAGCAAACTGTTCTTGCCATTAGAACCTATATTATTCAGATTTATTTTTTTATTTTACCAAAATAGAGTAATAAAAATTGTTGATATTACTGAATAAATAAAGTGGGTAATTTTCCAAATATTAGGAGAAACCCATGTATGGCTGTGGACAATGTAAAAATCTTGGCAATAATTTTTCAACATAAAAAAAAAAGAAATAGCCAATTCAAATGAACCGTTTGTTGTCTAATAATTCTAATTATTTCATTTATATTGTCAATAGGAAAAAAACGCATACAACAAGCCAATATGGACAATATTCATCGAAGCTTATTAAGCCAAATAAAAAGGAAATGAGAGGAGAGGAGGGAACATTTTCTGTGTGTGTGTGTAAAAATGCAGCCCACGTAAGAGCGGATGTCAAAATTCAGCTACGCCAAATATGCATTTGCGTATGTCCAACAACAAGATTTCGTTCTATATCGATTATATTTGCAATTAATCGACAGAAGATGACATATTTACATTTGCCTCTGGCTCTTTTATTGTTTATTGCCGGCATGGCATTTTCAGGCCAAATATTACACACACTCATATACATATATATGTAAGAAGAAAATCTGAAGAAAAACAATATTTTGTTGCAGACAATAAATTCATGAAAATGTGCAGAGAGGATCATGATGATGATGATGACGGCAAGCAAGACAGCAATACCAGCGGCCGGCCGCAACAACAGCAGTGGCATTTTCTCATCACTTCTGTCTGTCTGTCTTCATCTTTGCCATCGTCATCTTTGCCCTCGCCATTGTATGCATATTCAATAAGTAATAAGTGTAGGACATGAGATGCTATTACGAACAGGAAGAAAGTATTGCTACACTTACTATGAACAAAATATTAAATTTGGCCAAAAGCCAAGCAATTGAATCAAAAAACACAGAAAAAAAAATACTCAAGAAAACAACAAAACCAAGATGTGTAGGCACAACAGACAAAACAAAAAAACAGAGCATTAAATGACTGGGAGAAATTTTTTGAAAAAATCAAAAAGTAATCCACGAAGAATAGTGCATTGCCAATACAACGTCATATCACGCAACCAAAGAGAGAGAGAGAAAATTCTTACTCACCAAAAATATTAAAATGTGAAAAACATATTTTTTCCTTTTACTATTTTACTATACCGGACTGTGTTTTGTATACGTATTTCTATACATATATTAGAATAAATGGGATTATTTGTCGGAGAGTACTTGCCGGTTTTAACGCAATCTGAGACTAAAAAGAATACTTGTACTGTTGAAGAACTTGCAAGAACGTGAAGTTTTTACTATGATAACTTAATGATATCGAAAAAATTACAAAACTTTGGAGGTTCTGGAACAAAGCAGTTAATAACAATCGTTGTGTGATAATAAAAGCGTGTCCAATAAGATGTGTTGCTCTGGTATTCAAAGAAAATTCATCATACCCTCAGCCACATGGGTAGAGAGAGAGAGAGTATGTATCATTTGATACGGTCAAAACGTGCCTAGTCCAAATAACGGTTTTAGACCCTAGGTCGGTTTGGACCAAATCCGTTTCAGGGCATTTGGAGTCGATCTAGCGATGTTTGTCCGTCCGTCTGTCTGGCTGGTGCGCACGATAACTCCCGAATATTATTATCAAACTTTGAACGATTTCGGAGATGCGCAATATCGGTCCACTTCTTCTGGTACCTTTCCCACAAAATGTGAATATTTTCAAAAAATCATTTACTGCACAGGAAGAGAAAGGATAATCTGATTTTGCTCCAAATTTGCTAATTCTAATATTTGCATCAGTGCTAAGTCAGATGGACAATATCGGTCCACTACATCAAGTACCTCCCCCATAAGGGGTCAAATTTTAAATAATTAAAAATCTTTTAAAATGTGATGCAAGTGTCCGATTGTCTTCAAATTACACCCATCACAATATTTTTTTTATTAACCCAAGATCTGGTATTAAAATGGAATATATTGGTCCACTCTTCTTGAAATCGTCCACACAAATGGTCAAAATGCTCATAAAACACGAGATGAACATCCGATTCCATTCAGACTTGGTAAATATCAATATTTCCATCAAGACAAGATCTGTTATAAAGATGGTAGAGATCGGACCATTCCTTCTGGTATCGCCCCACAAAAGGGTCAAAGTTTTGAATAAGATAATAAGATCATAAAATCCGAAATGAGCATCCGGTTCTCTTCAAATTACACACATCATTTTTTACTAACCAAGGTCTGGTGTGAAGATGAAATATATCGGTCCATTCCATCAAGTACATCCCCCACTAAAGGGCCAAAATTTTGGGTATCCAGAAGCTCATAAAACGCGAAATAAACATCCGCATCCACTTAGACTTGGTACATCTGAATATTTCCATTAAGACAACATTTGTTATAAAGATGGAAGAGATCGGACCATTCCTTCTGGTACCTCCCCCACAAAGGGTTCAATACTGTGGAAAACAAACCGCTCAAAGAAAGTGAAATAAGCATCCAACTCTCTTCAAATTTCACACATCCAAATATTTTTGCGAACGCAAGATCTGTTGTGAAGATGATGTATATATCCCCTTCTGGTACCTCACCCACAAAGGGTCACAATTTCCAATACTTATATCTATCTTAACTTGCGAAACAAGTCGGCGATTCTTTACAACTTGCTATATCTTAATATTTCTCTCAACCAGAAATCTGTTATGAATATGTAATTTATCGGTATTTATGACTTCTCATAAAATTAGATATAAATGTTCGATTTCCTTCAAATTTTGCACATACCAATATTTTTATCTGCATTAGATTATGTATGAAAAGGCTATACCTCTGTCCGCTATATCTGTTATCACACGCATATTTCCAATAATTTGCACATATCTCACATAAAGTATAGGAATCTGGAATCTGGCACATTGTAATATTTATATCCGTCTTAGGTCAGATACGGATTGGTCTATTGCTGCAGAACCTCCCCCATAAAGGTCAACAGTTTAAATATTCATAACTTGCTTTTAGCGATTAAACACCACTGTGTTGTGCCCCCACAGTCTTGATGAACACAATAAAAATTTTATCCGGTACTGAATAAAATTTAAGAACCAGTCTCTTATTGTGTAACTAAAATCCAAAACGATCTTCGACTTAAAAGTGTGACTGACGTTTAAACACGTCTGTCGTACCTATCTGCATTCCCTCTACTCCATTATTCAATCATTTTAAGATGATATATTTTGGATTGTCGGACATCTTTTACATCTTGTCACAAAAAAATCTTAATCTGATATGTTTATTCTCATTTAAATTATATTTGAAAATATATTCTGGGAACCGAACACAGCTGCATTTCAATGTTATTTATTTTTATCATTAGCCTCAGCAATGTAATCCCAACAATAATTTCCATTAATTTATTTGCCACTCTTTGCATTTCCATTACAGAGTATTCGGATTATAACGATATGGTCCAATTTGACCAGGATAAATCGACACAATGTGCCGTTTATGATCAAACACCAGATTCAGAGCAAAAAAAGATCAATATTGTTGTACGTCCTGCCCACACGGTTGCTAAAGTGATTAGCGATATTAAAACGCAATATCGTTACGATAGCTTTGAACTAGTCCTACAGCCCATATCGGGTAAAGATTTGGTAAGTAACAAAAGGTTCGAAGATAAGCAAATGTTAAGTCTCGATTCACATCAGGGTTTCAATTTCATAATAAAATTGCCTGGTGTGACTCATGACACTCCTCCCTGCCTTACCTCGAAAATAGATTACATTTAAAAACAGAACCCCTTATATCTTTTCTTTTAGGTTTATTTAAATGAACGTAGCACGGAATTAATTTATGAGGTGGATGGTTTTGAACCAAACGAAAAAAATATTCTAATACTTATACCGCAAGGCAAGTGGAATGGTGACGTTAAGACGCGCTATGAATTTGGAAAACCCCTAAGAAAGACCCTAACAAATGGTATTGTCACCCCAAAGAAGAAATCACCCACAAAAACTGTGGTCAAACAACAGCAGCCAGAAGAACCATCAGTAGACACAGTAGATTTTGCCAGAAACACAATTGAAACAACATCATCACGGGAAGTTTCCTCCCACTTCGAAGAACAAGCAGATTTTGCAATTGCCCAACAAAAGACCGTTGAAACTAAAACCAGTACTACAATATCCCCCAATTCGGAAAGAATTACAGAAGAGAAGAAATCCCTGAGAGAGGAAATAATTGTGAGCAGCACCTCGGCAGCATTATCAGATCAGGCCCCCAAAACTAATGCAACACAAACAACACTGGCCAATTCCTCTTCTTCGTCTTTAGTATCAGGAGAAGTGATTACCTTGAGTAACAGAACCATAACAACATCGAGCATACAAGAATCATTGGAGGAAAGTTTTATAGCTGTAGAAGAGAAAACAACAACCATTGAAATGTCTTTGGAAGGTGCGGCCCCCCTTACCGGGGAACTAAGTGAAACAACAGTTACCATCCCAAAAGTTGTGAAAAAGTCATCACCTTCGAAAACTAAAAAAATCACAGAAACTGGCGAAGATGGCGTGACCACCGTCGTCGTGGTTAAGAAAACAACGAAGGTTAAAAAATCTGAAGAAACCAATGGAGATGGTACAACGAAGACCACCACAACAACTGTTAAAAAGAAATCACCCTCAAAATCTAAGGCAGCATTGGCCGAAGCTGGAGCGACAACGGGAGGGACAACAGTTGTTAAGAAGATCATTAAAGTGAAAAAGACCTCACCGGCAAAAACGGCCAAATCAACCAATGGGGAATCAGTGTCCGCCGAAACATCAACAACAACATCAACCGCAACAACGACTTCTTCCTCCACACCCATAACTGAAGAACCACAGGCAGTGGTGTCCAGCATACCAACACCGCCACCTCCTCCACCACCACCACCAGCCACACCTTTATCACCACCAGCCCCAGGTCCGGCGAAGACCAAAACTGTTATCAAAAAGAAAATTGTGAAAAAAGTCAATGCCATTGAACGCAAAGTTACGGCCGAACAAGATGATACGGTCAGTACAACTGAGAACAATGAATTGCCAGAGCAACCAACGCCCAATCTAATGGAAATAACCAATGGCATAAATGACTTAAATCACCACGATGCAGGTCTATCACCGCCCTCATCGATGACCACAGTGACAAATGCCACAAATTCGGATTCATTGAATTTGAGTCCCATGTCTGAACCAGATCCTCTTTCAGATGATGATTTAGCTTTAGGTGCCTCAGCCAGTCCCACAGAAACCGATCCCATGCAATGTAGTGGCGATTTGTCTCTGGATGCCTCAACGACGGTGCCCACATCAAATTATAAAATTAACTTTAACAATGATAGTACTGCCGTGCCGTTTAAGCTGAGACCACCCATGGAGGCAATTGCCGCCATTGCTCCACCCACCAACAATGGCTATGTGGGTTTGGTAAATCAGGCCATGACTTGTTATTTGAATTCGCTACTGCAAGCCTTGTATATGACACCGGAATTTCGTAATGCCTTATATCGTTGGGAGTTCGACAATGACAATGAGTCCAGCAACATACCCTATCAGTTACAGAAATTGTTTCTAAATTTGCAAGTTAGTAAAAATGATAAGATTCGATTTTATTTGCGGTAATAAATTGTTTTTAAATTTCCATTTCTAGACATCGAAAAAATCTGCCGTTGAGACCACCGATCTGACACGTAGTTTTGGTTGGAATTCCTCGGAAGCCTGGCAGCAACATGACATTCAGGAACTGTGTCGTGTCATGTTTGATGCCCTCGAACATCGTTTCAAAAATACCAAACAAGCCAATCTCATTTCGAATTTGTATGAGGGCAAAATGATCGATTATGTCAAGTGTTTGGAATGCAATACGGAAAAAACCCGGGCCGACACATTTTTGGATATACCACTGCCTGTCAAGCCTTTTGGCAGTCAAGTTGCCTATGGCAGCATTGAGGAGGCCCTGAGTGCTTTTGTCCAGCCCGAGACATTGGATGGCAATAATCAATATTTCTGCGAAAAATGTAACAAGAAATGTGATGCCCACAAGGGATTGAAATTCAAAAACTTCCCATATATTTTGACTTTGCATTTGAAACGTTTCGATTTTGATTATACCACCATGTATCGCATTAAGTTGAATGACAAGTAAGTAACTGGCGGGGAATTTTAAGATTATATCCAATAACTCCATGTCTCTCTCCACAGAGTCACTTTCCCACAAATACTTAATCTCAATGGGTTTGTGGAAACAAACGAAACAGCGGCAGCTACGGCGGCGGAAGTCACATCCAATTCAAATGGTGTGGATGACTGCAGTACCACAGACAGTGGTTCGGCCATGGATATGGAGGACAACTGGAGCAGTGGTGTTGTGACCACAGCCAGTTCAATAACACAAAACGAAACCGACATCAATGAAGATGATCTGGATGATGGCATTGATTTGCACTCCAATACCGAAAACATTAGGAATCGTGTCAATAGCGATCAGAATATTAAACAGCATTTGGGTCCATTCACCTATGAATTATTTGCCATAATGATTCATTCCGGAAGTGCCTCGGGTGGACATTACTATGCCTACATAAAGGAGTTGGACAATAATGAGTGGTTTTGTTTCAACGATCAAACGGTGTCGCCTGTAAGTAAATTTAATCTTATTTTGTAAATCAGAAGAGATCCAACTTATGTTGTTACCTTCCCTCCCTCCAGATAACCCAAGAAGATATACAAAAGTCATTTGGCGGTGGCATTGGCAAGGCCTACTATTCCAGTGTATATAGCTCAAGTACGAATGCATACATGCTTATGTATCGACAAGTCGATGAGAAACGCAACGAAAAATCCATGAAGGCCGATGAATTCCCCGAACACATAAAGAAACATTTGGAAAAATTGAAAGAGGAGGAGGAAAATCGTGTCACCCGTGGCAGCTATCGCCATCGTCCCATTGCTGATCTGTCGCTGAATGAACAAATCAAACCCCGCGTCTATTTCTATAATCCACAATTGAAGAAACTTAAAATGACCCGCGTCTATGCATCTCAGAACTTGGATTTAAATGCTGTCCTAGATTCGGCCTATAGCATGTTATCGGTACAGGATTTTGCACCAAAATCCCACTGTCGTCTGGTGGGCTATGATCCACCGGCTGAGAAGATTATACGTTCCTTTGAGAACCAAAAGAATTTGTCATTGACCGAAATTCGATCGGGCAGTGAAGATCCTGTTGAATTTCTCCTGGAATATCGTAGCGGGGATCAAGAATTTGAAATCTATGAGCCAGGCGGTACGACATGGTATGTGTTTGTGGTGAAACTGAATACCATGGAAATGGATGGTCCCTTCTTTGTGTACTCCAATACATTTGAAAACAATGAGACATTACGTCACTCAATTGCGGTGCGTCTAAATCTTAAAGAAGCAGATATTATGGTGGCCACCACTCAACGTTATAAGAAGGCATTCGTTAGCTGTGACGTTGCGCCCTCCAAAGAGGCCCAACAACGTCTGGAAGAATTGGCACGAGCTCAATTCAAAGATGTTACCTATATGTATGTGAATGTTCCAAATACAGATCCCGCCAATTTGGAAATTGTTGGTATTCCATCAAATGAGTTGGTGGCAGAGCAAAACGATCCCACGCAGCAACAACAACAGCAAAACCCGTCCAATGGCAATGATAACAAACTGTCAAATGGTTTCCACCATGAATGCAATTCCGAAGATAGTAGTTTGAGTGATGGTGATCGTACCCTAGTCGAAAATCTACATCAACGCAGCAGTAGTGGTGCCGGAGGTGCTACTGGCAGCTCTGCTGCTGGCCTTGGCGGTGGCGATAGTCAAATATCCAGTACTAGTCACTCTCCCCAATTGTCAAGTCCCGAAGATGAAAACAACCAGGAATCATACAATAGCATTTATACCTACTACAACAGCTATTTACATGGTGAAAATGGTGATGCGGATGTTCCCGTGCAACACGCGCCTCGGTTTTTCCATGCCATCAAATTGGATGTTTTGGATACGGTAACCGTGTCCACCAAACATCAGTACTCTGACGCAACAGATGGTGCTGACGAGATGGCCCGCAAACCCGTTGTTTCCTATAAGATCCTTGTGGATTCTCACATGAAATTGAGCAAATTCAAAGAACACTTAGCCCATCTAATTAAGGTTCCAGAAAATTACTTTGAAATTAATCGCAAACATGATAAGAGTTTGAAAAGTCTTATGAACCAATCACTGGTCTACTTCAGTGAGGGTGAAACGTTGTCGGTGGAGTTGGGCAAAGAACTGCAAGAGGGCGAACATAAAGCGAAAATTTACTTTATGCGTTTATCGGACATCACCAATGACACAGCCAGACTGCCATGTGTATGTGAATGGATATACACAGATGCAATGAAGGTGCCGGCAGCAAAGGCGGCATTAATACAAAAATTGCAACGCATTGATCCGCTCAAGTATAAAACGCTAAACATGAATAACTGTCGTTTGTGGCTGAAGGGTGGACGTAGTCCCATAAGCATATTTTCCGAAGATGATACAATCGGCTGTGAAATAAGATCATCATCGGCAATTGAAGTGAGTAATACGAGCTTTTAGCCGATACATTTTTGTAATTGAATTTTCCTTTTATCCTCTACTTTCAGTTTTTCGTGCAAGAATGTGAGGATGGTGTACAACCCCAGGTTTCGGATACAAGTCTAACGATATTTGTTCGTCGTTGGCATCCGGACACCCTGAAATTGGAGAAATTCCAAGAAATTACTTTAGATAGTATGTCCTACAATTGTGGAGAAAAATTTTCTGAGGAAAAAAATATTTGATTCATGTTTTTCTTTTTTTTGCAGAGGACAGTGAAATACGCAGTGCTTTATCCAAACTCTCAAGTATACCTGTTGACAATGTTGCTTACACAAAGGTATGAAATATTATTATTATACCTTCAACCACATGGCTGCAGAGGTCATATATCATTTGAATCGGCAAAAACGTGCCTCATCGAAATAACGGTTTTAGACCCTAGGCCACTTTATACCAAATCCGTTTTAGGATATTTCTGTCTGCCTGGTGCGCACGGTAACTCTCGAATTTTTATTAACCCAAGGTCTGGTAAGAAGATGGAATATATCGGTCCACTCCTTCTGGTACCTCCCCCACAAAGGCTCAAAATTTTGAAAATTCATGAAGCTCATAAAACCCGAAATTAACATCCTATTCCATTTAGACCTGGCACGTCTCAATATTTCCATCAACACAAGATCTGTTACTAAAATGATAGAGATCGGACCATTCCTTCTGGTACCTTCCCCACAAAGGATCAAGATTTTGAGTATCAAAAACGTTCATAAAATCCGAGATAAGCATCTGGTTCCCTTCATATTTCACCCATCCTATTATTTCTACTATCACAAAATCTTCTGTGAAGATGGGATGTATCGGTCCACTCCTTCTGGTACCTCCCCCACAAAGGGTCAAAATTTTGAATATCCATGAAGCTCATAAAACGGGTAATTAACATTCGATTCCATTAAGACTTGGTACATCTAAATATTTCTATCAAAAGAAGATTTGTTGTAAATGTGGTAGAGATCGGACCATTCCTTCTGGTACCGCCCCACAGAGGCTTTAAGATTTTGAAAAATTGGCAAATAAGCTCTCTTCAAATTTCACACATCAAAATATTTTTTCTAACGCAAGATCTGTTGTAAAGATGATATATATCTGCGAACCCCTTCTAACTCACAAAGGGTCACAATTTTCATTAATTTTATCTGTCATAACTTGCGAAACAAGCATATATATGAATATATAATTTATCGAAATTTTTGATTTCGCATAAAATTGGATATAAGTGTTCGATTTCCTTCATATTTTGGTCCGCTATATATGTTACCTCACGCATATTTCCATATTTTCCAAAAATTTGCACATATCTCATATAAAGTATAGGAAGTAGTCGATATAGTCCAAATTCGGACGTTGTAATAATCATTACTCAAGACAGGGTGTATACATCTGTCGGCAAAACGGACTGATACTATTTTACTTATTCTTCTTTCAGGTTAATGGGCATTTCCCCTACACAAATGTATCTCTGCTCACCATTAACAGTGCAATGAACTGGTTTGCCATACCAGCTACCTTGGAAAATTATCCCCTGTCCAGTACGGTTAGTGGTAATTTATATTTCTACAAGTAAGTAATGCAAATTATGAAATGTTCGTAAAATACTAATGCAATCATTTCTATTACAGGGATGCAACTGTTGAACCCAAGGAACTAACGCCCGAGGAGCGAAGAGAAATGAACGCCAAGGAAAATGTACGATTAGATAATTTGGGATGTGTTTCATCGTCAACGTCACGCTATTCTCGTCGTCACGAACGTGCTTTAAAAATCTATTTGGACAGTCCAACCACAACAGCTTCTCCACCCGTTGATGCCAACAGTTCAATGGCCGATGATATTTAATGTGGGCGGGAGTTTTCATTATTTTCTAAAGAGGACAACGGCTTGGCGACACACACACACACACACGTTACTCGATGAACTAACTGTGGCCAGGCATATGTAGTCAATGAATGGTGTAGTGATAATGGACGACACGTAACGTTTGAATCGTTAAATGTTTTATTAACACGCTGCATTCTGTTTAACTCTCCTGTCACAAATTGGCCTATCAATGAGCCGCCCACAATCTAGTTAACTTGCGTTATGTGAGATTATAAACAAAACAACAAAAACATCTTTATATTAAATCAAGTGTTACTTACTACGTTATTTTTATATTAATCACAAAACAACAACAACAAAAAATACAATAAGCCCCCAAAAACTTTGGAAACGAAACAAAACAAAACAACAAATATTCTTGATACAAAACTTCAGCAGCAGCTGCAAAGCAATAGAGGGCCACAAGAAAAGGAATATTCAACAATGATGCTAATCGGAAAAGAAGCCTAATCCTTTTTCCCTGCTCTTACACGAACTTACATATATAAGAAAAGCAAAGCAAAAGTTTATTCTCCTTTTTTGTAGTCAGATTTCAAACAACAACAATTATATTTAAACAAGAACAACAAAAACTAATTATTGAACGAACATATTTTTCTTAGGTCAAATTATATGAAAAAAAAACAACAACAATATCAAATTATATAAAATAATGAAAGAAATGCAAATTGTTTTCTTCTTTTCTGTTTGTTTGTTTATGTTTGCCTTGTAAACTCATTCATTACATACGTATTTATTTTCCTCTCTTCATACAGTGCCTCCTGTTTTTCTACAAAGCAAAGCACACCACAAACACCCACACACACACACGTATTAACAAAAACTGCTACAGCAAGACACAACAGAACACATCATTACTCACACACGAAAAATTACGTTTTCTCTTTTCTTCTTCTTCTTCTATAATATCATTAATGAGACTGTTTAAATAAGTAAACAAAAACAAAATCTGTAATAAAATATCGAAACGAAAAAAAAAAACAATCTTAAAATGGTTATCATTGTTTGATTGCGCTGCTTACACAACTAATCCTGAAATAATGCTTTCTTTAACAAAGGGGAGTGTTGTCAAATCGAGAAGCGAAATGAGAAATATATCATAAATATGAACTAAATACACGTGAGCTACCATATCGGTGAGGTTGGGCAAAGAATTGCAAGAGAGCGAACATAAAGCGAAAATTTACTTTATGCGTTTATCGGACATCAACAGTGACATAGCCAGACTGCCATGTGTATGTGAATGGAAATACACAGATGCAATGAAGGTACCGGCAGCAAAGGTGGCATTAATTCAAAAATTGCAACGCATTGATCCGCTCAAATATAAAATTTTAAACATGAATAACTGTCGATTATAGGTGAAGGGTGGACATAGCCCAAATAATCATATTTTCCGATACCATACCATCATTCAGTATGATCGGCTGGGCTTGGATAATCGTGGTTTATGTGTTGTAACTATATAAAATATACTTTGTAATTCGTTTAAAAATTGAGATTTTCATAGGTTATTTTTAGGCCACTAAAATTTGCAGAGAGGTGGTGTGCCCCTGGATCATGGTTTGTTTAACCCCAACATTCAGTATTTAGCCGATTCTACTGAAAGTTTAAATTTAGGCCCCGTTTTTTTTCTAAGACAATGGAAAATGGGAACAAAACTAAAAACTACACTCATGGCTTTCTTCCGACAGGCTTTCCGTATGAAAGTATATTTTTACATCATTTATTAAAAATAAATATTAAAAAAAGATTTAAACTCATATAAGTGTACACCAAAAATTAAAATTTTCTCAAAGATCGTGACAATTTTTCAGTTTTTGCACCACTTGACAATTCAAGAGCAAGTGACTTAATTTGGCCTTCAGTTTCGAGAATATATTTTACTGAAACCTATTTGTATGAAAAATGTTTACTGTTTTCGAGTTGTCGAGTGTTCTAGTGCAAGTCCGTGGCATCAGAATAAATGCCGAATTTAATCGCGAAATAATCTTCGGATACCAATCCGTTGGACTATTGTTTCTGGAGTATTTTGGAAAGTAAGGTTGGCACTAAAAATACCAAAGTGTCGATCACCTCAAGCAAGCGCTTTTCCGGGAATGGGTCAAAATACCGCAGATCCATAATTCGTGCCAAAGGTGCGAATTCGAACAAATCTAATCTTATTTTAAAATTTTATTTATTTCCAACATTTTTTGCTTTCATTTAATAAAAACTAAAAAAAAAATGTAAATTTTATTTCGTATGTCTTTGTTGCAGTTTTTTCATCTCACCCTGTACAACGTTTTTGGAGATTAATATGTACTTGTAAATAACAACAGCTATATTCCATTTAGGAGAGGCAAGCATGTCAACATAATACAAAGAAATCCTCCAAAATTTGATGTTTATTTTCTTTCCATTTTCCCATATGTCTGCATTTTTTTTTTGGCTTTAGTTCCCCCTTAAATTTTGTTTTAACATGTTATGGTTTTATTATATTTATTATTTCGCATTGTATTATTCCATTAATTTTGTACGATTTACTGGTTTGACCCGAAACCACCATAGGTTGTAGTTAACAGATTTGACTTGGAGAAACATTTTTAGGTCAAAAGTCTTCATAACACTCCTTTTGTGGTTTCAGTTGAAGGCTACGCTGGAAATATTGTTCGATGATTTCCGCAGCACATGTCCGGTCCAACCATCTTTTTAAGCCCTTCTTGCAGAAGAAGTTTGAGAACTTAGAATACTTCCATTGGTTTGTAGTCGACAGACTTGGCTTGGATATTTGATCAAAAAGTCTTTGTGTCGTCTCCTACATCGTGACCCTTGGGGGTGTCAATCGAAAGCTAGGCTAGCAATATTATTCGATGATTTCAGCAGCACATGGCTTAACCTCTTCATTTCTTCAAGACTTTTTTAATTCAATGTTAGTGATCTAGTTGTTACAACGCCTAATTGGCATTAAATATTCCTTATACAGCAGCAAATAAAGTCTTCAAGTTGTGTTTGTTCCTTTGAAGCATACGAGTCCATTTGAAATTTTGTATTTTCCATGTGACCCTAAAAAATAAAATACGTTTGTTATCATTTAAAACAATTTTAATTAAAAATATATAGTTCCTTTAAAATATTTTGTCTCAGCTCTCATAATCTTCCAATCTTCGGCTTTTGGCAAACCCCATTCTAGAAACACGTCGTCTGGTATAAAGAAAAATAACTACATACCAGAGAAAGTGGCCATGTTTACACAGAACAATAACCACTGTATTTCCTGAATTTCATTCGCTTCGAACCTCAAGCGCTTATTTCTAATCATGGACAATATTTTTAAATATTTTTGTTTCTTAAATTGGATACTTACCTAAACACAAATGAAGAGGAGGACGGTCGAGAAATGTGAATCTGCAAAGAAATTAAAATTGTTATATATTACAATATGATCTTATGGAAAGTAAGGGGTAAAGTTGGAAACTTTTGAAATAGTGTCTCAGATCTCATAATCTTACAATCTTCGGACTTCAATCAATATCAAATCGAAAGTACACCAAACTTGTGTAACATTTCAAAAGAACGTCCACAAACGAAAGTGATTTGGATTGACACAGAACCAAATGCACGCTATGTACCTTCATTAAGTTATCGATCTTCATCCTCAAGCGCTGGTTTTTAATCATTGACAAATTTCAAAGGTATTGAATGTTTTTTATTTAATTTGCAGACTTTTTTTTTGAATTGATATTAAAACAGTTTTCAATTAAAAAAAGAACGAAAATGAAACAAATAAAAATTTATAATTCTGCAAATTTTGGAAAAATAATAAATTTCACTTACCTTTTGACGGAAAGTAAATGAAACGTTGACCAATTTTTTAGACGTGGCTGTCACTTATCGATTAGAAGTTTGGTAGTTCGGAATCGCAGAAATGTGTGGTGTTAAAATGGTGCAGGAGGGTTGCCTTTAGTTGAACTTTTGTTGTAACAATACGCTGGAAATACATTTCGGAGAGTAAGCTTAGGCCATGTAGTAACGACTTAAAAAACCTCTTTCGGAGCCATTAAAATCTGTAAAAATCTGTTGAAGAAAAAAGTCCACATCCTCCAAAAACGGATTCCTTGATAAAAAAAAAATCAAACATGTTTTCCAGGGTTTCTTCTCTTGTTGTTTTAAAGAATTTTTCTTTTTATTTAGTTTAGCGTTTCTCTTTTTTAATTATTTTCAATAATTTTGGAAAAAAACGAATTCAAACTCAATTTATAGACAATTTTTTGAAAATTATCTCTCGTCCCACCATATCTACTCGTGAGATATGTGAGACTATCCTCTGTAAACACACACGCGCACACAAGCAGGCATAAGTGTGTGCATGTGTTGGTTGGTTTCCTATATTCTTTTGTTCTTATTTCGATTTCATTGTCCGCGTAATGAATTTAATTCTATTTACTGAATAAAAATATAAAAATTATAAAATATCTTTCGAATTTTATAATAATAGTAGTAATAAAAAAAAATGGTAAAATACATAATTTTGTGTGGGGGGAATTTGAGGGGGGTAGAGTAGATATTCAAATTGATTGACTCAATTATGTGGTATAGGTAAAGTAGTAACAAACTTTAGATCTCTGCTATTCATATGTGAATGATGATATTGTAACCTTTATGATGTGATACAATAAAAGAAACATTCTCTTCTTAGAGGGGGGCTGGCGCTGTAGAACGAGAGCATAGATATTTTGTTGGAACTACTCCCAATTTGCATGGGAAGTAGTTCCTTTTATTACTCCCACATTGTGAATAAATTTATTGCTTGTTGGATGTTTTTCTTTTATCTATGGGAGTTAATTTGTGTTGTTGCTATTTTTCTTGCAGTTGATTGATGTTCTTTAAAAGTTCACATTGCAAAAGGCAGTAATACGGATAGTTTTAAAATCTGTTTAGGCCTTGGTCTCCACAGCAGCTGGTGCGGGAGTGGCAGCATCTGTTCCAGCAGTGGCAGCTTTTTTCTTGGCATGGCCTTTGCCCTTTTTAGTGGGTTGCAATGGAGTGGCAACAAGTTCCTTAAGTTCAGCTTGCGCTATGCTATGCTCACTGACAAAGTTCTCTGTGGCGAAGGGGAGTCCAGTGACCAAATTAACACCGTTGGGCATCAATAAAACTGTGTGTTTGAATTGGGCCACATATTCACCTGAAAATAGCGAAAGAGAAAAAAAAAACATTGTTTTAAAATGTTTAAGATTAAAAAGAGGAATTGTTTCAATAAAACCCCCTACCATAAGGAAAACGAATAGCTAGAACCTACATCTGACCCTCGTGTTTATTTATTTCATTCCTTAATGCCTACAGTTGTCTAAGCTACCAAGAACACTTGGTATATACAGAGTGAGATGAAAAAACTGCAACCAACTTCAGACTGCCGTCATTTCTAAGACAATCGTCCGAGGGCTGCTAAAATTATTCCAGTGACAGATCATTATATTGTTTACAAGCGTACAAAACATTTTGGTGAGAATTTTCCAGAAAAAAAGGTATTCGTAATGGAATTCAAACGTGATAGTGTAATTTCTTTATATTTGACTGGAAAACCACAAGTGGCTATCGTTAGAGCACTCTAGCATTTTAATGTGAATACATCTTTTGTGTCTCGTACCATCGCTCGTTACCGTTATACTGGTAGCGTAGCCCGACGCCAAGGAAGTGGACGGAAGAAAACAGCAACCTCAGCAGAAATGGTTCGAAAAGTAGCGACTTGATCGCAACCCGCGTCGCAATGGCCGAAAAATGGCTCGTGAGCTGAACATATAGGAATATTCTATTCGGCAAATATTGAAAAATGAGCTCGGGGTAAAGCCATTGAAATTCCAAAAAGTGCAAGAACTTACACCGCAACAGAAAGAAAATAGGCTCAAAAGAGCTAAAGAGTTGCTTCGCTTGGGCGAAAGTTATGAACTGCCGAATTTGGTTTTCTCCGTCTCCGATGAGAAAACATTCGTTGTCCAGCAGTTTGTAAACAAACCAAATTATCGTGTTTACTTTGATGCTATTTCCGACATCTTTTGCTTTCAATCAATGAATTTAAAAAAAAAGTTAAAATTATGGCGTTTGACTTTGTTGCAGTTTTTTTTATCTGACCCTGTACAGGCGTGGACTAGGACATTTCTCGACATTTGTATTTAATAAGAAACTTCAATCGAACTCGAAAAAATGTAACCAATTCGACAGATTCCTTATTAGAGTATTTGCTATAGCAAGGTGTCTGGCCGCATTGACAATTGAAATGTGCACATATACGGAATTAAGCCTCGCATGGAAATTACCATAAAGATCGGGATCGAAAATACCTAAATGCCATGAAAAAATTCAAGTTAAAAGTACACAGACAAAATAAAATTTCTCTTAAACATTTTACCCATAATCCGACCTTTGCTAACAATAAATAAAATGTTTTTATGACGTGCCTTATATGTCAATAAAATCTGGTCGTATAGCTATTGAAGTACAATGCAAAATTTTAAATAATTTTGTCCTTGACAAGAAACTTCAATTGAATTCGAATAAGTAAAACCAATTCAACAGATTTCCCAGCAAAAGTTTTAATCTGGCAGGGTGTCTGGCCGCAAAGACAATTGAAATGTGCTCAAATACGGAATTAATCTCTGCCCAAAAAATGATTGTTATTTCAAAAATGTATTTTCAAAAAATACTTACTTGGCTTTTCGTACAAGACTTGGAAGGGTTCAATCATTTTGTGGGACATGCATTCCACAACACCCATGCGCGCCTTGGTTTCCTCCTCGAAACTGCGAATATTGAAGGGCATGTTTCCGTATTTTGTTTTAACCTACATTGAAGACAATGGCATAAAAATATACGTTAATAACCTATAACAATTTTTTTACAATTTAAAATTCCTGTTTTTGTAGATGTCTCAGATCTCATAATCTTACAATCTCTGGGTTTCAGCCAATAGCTCACCAGAAACAATACGCCAATTTGTTTGGGCCCATAAGAGAGCAATAAACAAAAAGTGGAAAGGTCTCAGTGTTCACCCAGAACAGAAACCCTTGTATGTTTCAGTTACTTATCAGCATCCTACCCTCAAGCGCTAGTTTTTAATCATTGACATTTGTGTTGTTAGCTTTTCAATATTTCTATGAACAATTGTGCTTACCTCAGCCAAAAGAGCACGAGATGTTTTCAATTTAAGCATGTAGTTTTCATCGGTCTTCTTGTAAATTGACACTTTAGTATCCTTTTCCCGGCCAATACCCTCGCCCGTGCTAACAATAACATCGATGGCATAGACTTCGTGGGTTTCAAAAGTGCACTTTTCATGTTCCTTGCGTTGAGCCTCGCTTGGATTTTGAATGATAGTCTTTTCGCCATCGATTTTGAATTGTTTCAATTCGTGACTGAGCATACCCTCAATGGGTTTGCACTTGTACGATTCGCTGATTTGTTGTACGGCTTCGGTAATGGCATAGTTCTAAAATGATAAGAGATTTATTGAAAAACAATATTTAATCTGGGGCTACGAAGACAACAATCAATACAATTGATAAGATTAGATTAGGTAAATATTAAATTGAATTTCTAAAAAAAATTAATATATTCTATGAGGACATCTCTATATACCCTTACGATGAAATTTTTTCTTTGCAAGTGTTGAGATGTTTTCAATGTATGTTATAGTTAAAAACAATCCGTTGCTTGCAAATGCAAAGCGAACGACCTCTCTACTATCCATCATCTAATATTGTATCCATTTTTCAAAGCAACAATTAATAGGGCTATTGAAAGTTGCAGTATGCTTCAATGGAAGTAGTATTGATGTATGCAAGTGTTGAGATGTTTCAAATTGCAAAAAATTTGAAACAATCCGTTTCTTGCAATAGACATTCCAATTATTCTAAAAGGCGCATTATGCTGCGAAATGATTGATAATCGTTATCACAAATTTCAATTTTTTAAACGAAATAAAAACGCATTATAGACAACTTCTATAATGGACTTTTTTTGACACAAAAGACCAAAATCACTTCAGTTAGCTAACTTGATTTATGCAAGTGTTGAGATGTTTCCAATGGTATGTAATTGGTAACAATCCGTTGCTTGCAATATCTAGGAGCACATTTACATATATAATAAAATCAAGCCCTTTAAAAACATTTCTCAACTTACATTGTTTCCAGATTTAAGAAGCCTTAAGGCAGCTTGGACAGCCCAGTAAGCAGCCAAAGTCACATCAGCTTTACGTCCAGTAACTTTCTTGTCAGCCGAGGCTCCAACAATGACCGTATGTGCTGCAACAGCAATGAAGCCATCAATGTGGGCACCCAAATCACTAAAAAGCAAAAAAGATTATAAGCACACAATGCCATAGATTTATACAATTTAAAATTGCTAACATTTTGACAACATCGCCATCCTTCAATACATAATCGGGATCATTCTTGGACGGAGAAAAGTGGCAAACACAATTATTGACAGAGAGGCAGGTGGGGAATGCAATACCTTTTTTCAGATCCTTTTCTTTTTTGTAGACCTATTTAAAGACAGAAAATGTGTTTCTTAAAAACTGCAAAACATTACTACAAGACGACAATACATACCTTGTTTGTTTCTTCTGTTAGAAGATTATCAGACTTTGTGCAAATATCTCTTACAGAAGCATCGGCCACACAGAGATCAATGACAGTTTTTAATGTTCCTAAAAAAACAACAACAAATTTCATTTGTTAAATAAAAAATGATCATGTCAATAACCAGATTATCAGCTCAATAACTGATATTGCGTGGCAGTGCAAAGCAAAGCGCAGCAAACAAAGTAACCAGCCACGTTAAAAAAGTACGTAGCACTTTCTCGAAATGCCGATGCTATTTTTGTTTGTAAGGCAACAAAGAACGTGAAGAAACGCTTACATTTCGTAATTGCTGAAATCCTTTGAATATTTGTAATCACTGTGACCACACGCAAAGGCTATTGGGTAGCTGCCGCTACCCTACAGACCGCTTTGTTACAATATTTAGGTTATGTTTCACTTCAGCTAACGGCAGAAGCGCCGCGTGGCTTTCGCTTTCACACTACACACAGTCGACGACGATACATTTTTGGCATCAGCGCAACGAAACAACGACGATACTGGTTAGTTGGCTGTCGCTTGCTTGGTATTGACCACCAACTTTTTTCATTGATTACCATCATCCAGAGAGGATATTTTACATTACTTACTGTTCACAATTTCGCCCGCCAATTTGTATTTGGTAACAACCAAATCTTCGGCAATGGTCTTCTCTTCTTTTTCAATTTCTGCCATGACTTTCTTCAAGATTCAATCACAATTAAAATAACACAAATAATCTTTGCGTGCAAATACTTTGTCAGTGCTACCAAACTGTGTGGGGAAAATTTTTTGACAGTACCATGGGAAGTGTTCAGAAAGAATGTAGCAGAAAATGGTGTGTCTGTACGGAAGGTGTGTGACAAAATATGCCTTATTCTATTTTAACTTTAGTTTACGTTGATAAACGGATGAAAAAAGTATTAAAATGAATAGAAGATGATTTATTCTATAAATTTATATAAAAATTTAAGTAAAAAATGCATATTGTCAGTAATAAAGTCTTATAATACCAGATATGTGCCATATGAATGAAAAACGTTCCACCACTATTGCCAAAGTTGAATGAAAAAAATACTCAAAGTTTACTTTTTCAAAAATCGGTTTGTTGTTTCTTAATCTTAAAACTCAAAATACGTATCCCTTGAATTCTAAACACCCTCCAGTGGTAAAGTCTTGTAGAAGTTTCTTCGGTCTGTTGAGAAAGCGCCTCGTTTTCACTCTTTCCTCTAACTGCAATTAAAAAAGGTTCCTGTTTGTCCTGTCGTGATGGAACCGCTGTGGTCTGTTTCCCCCTGATTGACAAATAATTTAATTTCACATTCGCTACCAATGCGCATTTAATAGTTTAATAATCTTTTCAATTATCCACGAATGATTGGCATGTAATTCCTTATTTCTATCCAAATCCATCCATTGGACTTTGGCGGCATCATCACCGGCCGATAACTTAAGTTTACCAACTTGTGTTCCCGTCTCATCATGGAAATTATAGGCCACTGTTTCCATCCAGGCATTGTCTGTATTACGATAATCGTCGACATAACCTTTATATACTTCTGTGCCCTGGGCAAAGAAATTCTCCACCATTTGTTGGTCCTCTGAGACTAGTTTAAACATTGGAATGAGTACTTTTTAAGAGTCTAAGAGAAATTATCTTACCAAAGCTATCCAAGGCCTCTTCCATGAATTCTCGCCGCAGTGTGGTGGATACTTTTTCACCAGGATCCACCATACCACCTGGTATGGCCCACATTTTATTGTCACGTCTTTGTATGGCAACCATTTGGAGAATATTTCTGGGAAATGATTTAAAATATAAAGGTAAGTGCCTAGATATTCTACGTTAGCTCACAAACTTCTTAGTTTCCAAATGCTTGACAACATTGCCATCGGCATCACGTTTCCATCTGGTAACTATTGGATCGGCTGCATGATTTGGACCCCATCTACCCAAAATACCACGTCCTCTCAGGCCAGTACGTCCCATAGGATTCAGCGGATACCCACAGTCATCGATAGCATATTCACCATTAAAGGACACTCTATTTACATTGCCATCCAAACAGTTCCATTTGGGTTGAAATTCTTTATTTTGGATATCAGGATCAGCCCACACTTGACCGGCGATATGGGCTGATGTATACGTTGGTGGATCATATTCGAATGGCACATTCCAGGGAACATATTTATCGGGAACTGGAAACCGTTTTACCTCACTTCGAGGGTACACATTGTTGCGGCAGGTTGCATGTAGAATCATAGTAGCGAGCAGAGGACTTTTCGTCATAACGATTCAGTTCAGTTGGGCTGTGACTCGTTCCAGAGTAAACAGTTCAAGTGTATTATTCTGCGAAAGGAACGATCGGAACCATGTTCATAACTTCCCTTTATCTAGTTCTTTTACTCAAAGATGTGTTGAGTGTTTTACATCTTGGATTTTTCTACTTCCTTGGTGCAAAAAAACTTTTGTAATTGACTTGTAAAATATTGAACATAGATTTGCGAACATCAGAAAAATTAAGCGAATATATATGTATTTTGTTTACACATGGAAAGAGACAGCTGATGTTTGAATGTTAGTGCAAAGAGAATGCAGAGTACTAAAATACCCGTTAGCCACAGTATTCACATGAACGAGATAGTGGGCCTAGTTCCTTTTAAGAAAGGAAAAGTCAGAAAGTGGATTCCCTTCTGTGAACGAGTTTACAATTTAGCGGAAGAATTTAAAGTACGTTTACACAGTCCGAATTTATATTAGGCAATTTTACTTACGGCAAATCTCTGTTTATAGGAGAAAGGCGTTGGGCGAATGAAAAAATTGCTCGAAAATCAAGGCAAGGCAAAAGAAATCGATTAAAATTGCCGCAAAAAAAAACTCGTCCAGTGTAAATATGGAGATACAATCTATTATCAGGTTAAATAATTGAAATTTGCGAAAAAAAACAAAAGGAAAGTAGAATTAACTAATGAAAACTAGAATTTCTTAACGCCAACCTTTGACATCAGCTGCATTATCTCACTTGTCTTTTTTAAAGGCAGAGTAAGGAAAACTAACGACCTGGTATATGCAGGGTGACATAAAAAACTGCAACCAAAGTCAAACGCCATAATATTTACATTTTTTTAATTTTATTGAATGAAAGCAAAAAATGTCGGAAATAGCATCAAATTTCCGAATAAGTTTTGATTTGTTCGTATTGGTCACCTTTGGCACGAATTATGGCCTTCAAACGGCCAATGAAACCGTCACACGCTCCCCGAATGTTGCTCTGCGGTATTTTGGTCCATTTCCGGCGAAGCGCTTGCTGAAAGTGATCGACACTTTGGTATTTTTTAGTACCAACCTTGCTTTTTAAAATACTCCAGACACAATAGTCCAACGGATTGGTATCTGGAGATTTTGATGGCTATTGTGCGTTGAAAATGAAGCGAGGAACCTCACTTTGTAACCATTTTTGGGTGGCGCGTGCTGAGTGCGATGGTGCGGAGTCCTATTGGAATGTCCAAGGTCTGGGGCCAAAATGTTTGCGTGTCCAAGGCTTTAATACACCCTCCAGATTTTTTAGCGATAACATTCGGCATTTATCCTGATGCCACGGTCGATTAATACGATTGGAGAGCGACCATGGGCTGTTATGACGGCCCGCGCCATCACCATGGCCATCACCGGCGCTTGAGTTCTGTTGGCCAACCGAAGGTGCACAATTTCAGCTGACCTCTTTGACAAGTAAACACGATCATTTTGTTTGTTTACAAACTGCTGGACAGCGATTGTTTCCTCATCGAAGAAAACCAAATTCGGCAGGTCACCACTTTCGGCCAAGCGAAGCAACTCTTTAATTCTTTGGAGTCTATTTAGCGGTGTAAGTTCTTGCACTTTTTGGAATTTCAATGTCTTTACCCCGAGCTCATTTTTCAATATTTGCCGAATGGAATTTGCGATATGTTCAGCTCACGAGCCATTTTTCCGCCACTGCGACGAAGGTTTCGATCAAGTCGCTTTTTTACTTTTCGAAACATCTCTGCTGATGTTGCTGTTTTCTTCCGTCCATTTGTGGAAATCACTCTAGCTTCCGAACGAAATAAAGCAGGTTGATAAAATTGTACTCAAATGTTTACTATGTCTGCAGGACTTTTGGTATTGAAAATGGGCCATGTAGGTCACCATCTTCGTCTAGCCCCCATATAACAGTACCTCCCGATATGCGGTATTTTGATGATTTTAGCGACATTATTTACCGGAATTGTTTCAATTTTGGTATTTGAAGTTCGTAATGGATACTACATCCTAATGCCATGTTTACGTTAGAACTTTGTGTAGGGTTAACCTACTTTGAGAGGATTTATTTGAAGTAAAAGTAATGGATATGACAATTTAAATCCAAATCCAGTGGGTTAACCCTCATATACATAAACGTACTGTAAGACAGAAAATGAGCCATGTAGGTCCCCGTCTTCGTATAGACCCCATATAACGGTACCTCCCGATATTCGGTACTTTGATGATTTTAGTAAAATTATTTACCGGAACTATTTTAAATTTGGTATTTAAAGTTCGTAATGAATACTATAGCCTATGACATAAAATTGTCCACGTCTTCGGTACCACCCGATATTCGGTATTTTGATGATTTCAGCGACATTTTTTTTTACCGGAACTATTTCAAATTTTGTATTTGAAGTTCGTAATGAATACTACAGCCTATGAGAGGAAATTGTGTGTGCAGGTCCACGTCTTCGTATAGCCCCCATATAACAGTACCTCCCGATATTCGGTATTTTGATGATTTTAGCAACATTATTTACCGGAATTATTTCAAATTTTGTATTTGAAGTTCGTAATGGATACTACAGCCTATGCCAGAAAATTGTCTCTGCAAACTTATGAAAAAAGTTGCATATGCAGGTCCACGTCGTCGTATAGGCCCATTCGGTATTTTTAGGATTTTAACAGAATTTTTAATGGATTTTAATTTTTTGAAAATCACCAAATTTGTACCAATTGGTGGAGGGTATTCAGCTTTTTTTTTACAGATTTTTTACTTTTTTTACTTAATTAAGTGAAATTTTCAAAAATTACCTTTCAACCACGTTTTGAATGAAATAATATTCATCTTCATCGTGTGCACATGTGCATGGGTATGTATGTTTCCATCTATGCTTCAAGCTGAGCTTAAAAATCCCATATTTAATGACTTTACAGATAATACCTAACAGCAACGTCTGTAGTTTCTAACTCTATTTTGGTTTTTTTTGAACTGAAACTAGTTTTAAATCTTGTCTTACCATAAGGTACGACAACAACCACTACAACAACACAATGCGCAATAATATGCGTTACTCTACTGCACTTTTACCACCATTGACTAGGCCAGACAAAAGATGAAAATGTTGAAGATGAAAAAATAGAAAAAAAAAAAAACAACAACAACACTGTTGCACAAATGAATGAATTTTATTTTTAGTTTCTTTTTTTTTTTTTGTTTTTAATGTTGTTATCTGTTGTTGTTCGTTCGTTCGTTCATTCATTCTTTGAGAAAATTATACGCCAGACGACCAGACAACATAACTACAAAAGTTAAGGAAAAAAAAATACAAAACAAAAATAATTTACTACAAAACCATGCATTTAATACATAAGCTGGTTAACACTCCATAACGGTAACTGTAGCTTTTGCTGTTGTTGTTGTTGCTGGTACATCTAAATTATATTATTTGGTAACAGCTTGTATTAGTTTCTCTTGAAGCTCCATTCGTATATCATTAAATTGTGGCCATTTGGCCAAATTCACCTCTTCCAAGTCGTTGAGACGATGATCGTATAATTCTTCGCCGTAGACAATGGACCAATCTGCAAGGGGGGAGAGAGAAAATTTACATTATTTACTATTTGGGTGACATGGATAAATTATCTGACCTAGGGAGACCCAATAAAAAAAAACCAAAAGTCGACTTTAAGAATTTTTGATTTTTCGAAATGACGATTCAACGAAAATGACGACTTTTCGAACTTTCAAATGTTTTGCAATCAATTAAAAATCGATCAAATCGCCTAAAATCGAATTAAATTTTATATTCTTTTGATTCTATCCAACACATGGTTTGAATTGTTTGTGGATATTATCATAAAAATAGAAAACTAAAACAAAAGGTCTTTTGACGTTGTATATTATTTCGTTGAAATGATCTTAAAATCGATTAAAAAAATACGACTTTCGGCTTTTCAGCATAGACAAAATTCGTCTTCGACTTTCAGACTTTTCAATACCAAAAGTCGATTAATCGAAATAGAATTGAGTTATCCAAATCTGAACAATACGAATACATTATGCAATTTATCTAAAGGTTTTCTCCAAAGAAGACCTCTGACGGACTTCTTCATAGAAGACCTCTGATGGTCTTCTTCATACAAGACGTCTGATGGTCTGCTCCATAGAAGACCTCTGATGGTATTCTCCATAGAAGACCTCTGATGGTCTTCTCCATAGAATACCTCTGATGGTCTTCTCCATAGAATACCTCTGATGGTCTTCTCCATAGAGGAGCTCTAATAGCTATTCGAAGCATCGTAGATACATTATCTACTTTATCTAAGTACTATAGTTAATTATTTAGATTATCTAAGTATCGTAGATACATTATCTACTTTATCTAAGTATTATAGTTAATTATTAAGGTTATCTATGCATCGTAGATACATTATCGAAGTTAACAAAATGCTGTAGATACATTACCCACGTTGTCTGAGTACAGTAGATACATTATTTAGGTTATCTAAGTACTGTAGATACATTATCCATGTTATCTTAGTATCATTGATAGATTATCCACGTTATCTAAGTATCATAGATACATTATTTAGGTTATCTAAGTACTGTAGATACATTATCCATGTTATATTAGTATTGTAGATACATTATCCACGTTATCTTAGTATCGTAGATACATTATCCACGTTATCTAAGTATCATAGATACATTATTTAGGTTATATAAGTACTTTAGATACATTATCCACGTTATCTTAGTATTATAGATACATTATCCACGTTATCTAAGTGCTGTAGATACATTATCCACGTTATCTCAATACTGTAGATACATTAACCACGTTATCTGAGTACTGTAGATACATTTTTCACGTTATCGGAGTACTGCAGATACATTATCCAGATTATCTAAGTATTGTAGATCCATAATCCACATAATCTAAATACTGTGGTTGCTTTATCCAGATTATCTAAATACTGTAGATAAATTATCCAGGTTATCCAAGTGATGAAGATACATTATCCGTGTTATCTTAGCATTGTAGATACATTATCCACGTTATATTAATACTGCAGATACATTACCCACAGTATCTTAGAACTTCAGTTGTGTTATCCACGCGATACAAATCTGTAGATACGTTGTACACGTTATCTAAGTACTGTAGATACAATATCCAGATTATCTAAGTATTTTAGATACATAATCCACGTTATCTAAATACGATGGATGCTTTACCCAGGTTATCTAAATACTGTAGATACATTATCCGTGTTATCTGGGTATTGTAGATACATTATCTATGTTATCTAAATACTGTATATATATTATCCAGGTTATCAAAATACGGTAGATACATTATCCAGATTATCTAATTACTCTAGATACATTATCCAGATTATCTAATTACTCTAGATACATTATTCAAGTTATCTAAGTATTGTAGATACATTATCCAGGTTATCTTAGTATTGTAGATACATTATCCACGTTATATTGATACTGCAGATACATTATCCAGGGTATCTTAGAATTTTAGTTGTGTTATCCACGCGATACAAATCTGTAGATACATTGTACACGTTATCTAAGTACTGTAGATACAATATCCAGATTATCTATGTACTGTAGATACATAATCCACTTTATCTAAATACTGTGGATGCTTTATCCAGGTTATCTAAATACTGCAGATACATTATCCGTGTTACCTGGGTATTGTAGATACATTATTCATGTTATCTAAATATTGTATATAAATTATCCAGGTTATCTAAATACGGTAGATACGTTATCCAGATTATCTAATTAATCTAGATACATTATCCAAGTTATCTAAGTACTGTAGATACATTATCCATGTTATCTAAATACTGTAGATACATTATCCAGGTTATCTAAATGCTGTAGATACATTATCCAGGTTATTTATGTACTGTAGATACATTTTACACGTTATCTAAGTACTATATATACAATACCCAAGATATCTAGAAACTGTAGATACAATATTCAGATTATATTAGTACTGTGAATACATTATCCAGTTCATCTGATTACTGTAGGTACACTAACCGGGTTATCTAAGTACTGTAGATACATTATACACGTCATCTAAGTACTGTAGATACAATATCTAGAATATCTAAGCAATGTAGATACATAATCCACATTATCTAAATACTGTAGATGCATTATTCAGGTTATATAAATACTGTAGATACTTTATCCTCGTTACCTAAGTACTGTAGATACATTATACAGGCTATCAAAAGTATGTAGATACATTATACACGTTATCTAACTACTGTAGATACAATATCCAAGATGTCTAATAACTTTAGATACAATATCCAGATTATCTTAGTATTGTAGGTACATTATCGAGTTTATCTGATTACTCAGATACATTATCCAGATTATCTAAATACTGTAGATATATTATCCAGGTTATCTAAGTACTGTAGATACAATATCCAGGTTATCGGAGTACTGTAGATACATAATCCACGTTAGTACTGTAAATACATTATCTAAGTATTGTAGATACATTATCTGAGCTATATAAGTACGACAGATACATTTTCCAGATTATCTGAATAACTTAGGTACATCATTGATGTAATATGAGTGATGTAGATACATTATCCACGCTAATATAGCATGTTAGATCCTATTTATCAGAGTACCGCAAATTAATTTTCCACGTTATATTCAGATACATTATTCGTTTCATATAAGTACCGCAAATACACTATCCACATTAAAAATCTAACCCTCAATGATACATTATCCGAACTATACATACCCCTTGTGAAATTCCTTGGATTAAACTCCACCCATAGCGTGTAGCGAAATTTCTCCGTTCTCAGTGAGTAGCCCATTATTTTGATATTTTTCAATTTCGGTTTATCGCTGTTCGGATGCTGGGTGGGAATCTTGCCGGGTCGGGGATATTGACTTAAGGCATAGATCTCCTTATCTGAAACCCCAATACCATCCTTCATTAGGGGATATAAACTCTTTCCTTGTGTGCAGGTGAGCTGTTGAGCCACTGACTTATCATTCCGACATTTGGGTATTGGCGCTAAATGGGCCAAATCCACCAGGGTGGGGAATATATCCAGCAGTTCGGTACACTCATGAATGGCTGTGGTGCCTTTGGAAAATTCTGGACTTTTTATTATTAATGGTACCCTTAGGGCCACCTCAAAATTACTATATTTCGCCCATTCCGCGTGCTCCCCCAGAGACCAACCATGGTCACTGGTAACCAAAACAATTGTGCTGCTCAGATCCACCTCAGCCATGAACTTGCCAAAGAGATCATCCACATAAGTCACTGCCGCGTAATAGGCTTGTCTTATCTTTGCCCGTTGTAGTTTCTTAATAGGACCATAGGGAAAGGGTATGTGCCAATGTTTTATATCATCCCGCTTCCGAATATCGGTATATGGATTCCAGGCCACCTTGGGCATATCATGGGGTTTATATTTATCCGTTGTGTAATTTAGGAATTCATCTACCTTAAATCGCTGTAGATATTCCTTGGGAAAACGAAAATTGATGTGCGGCTTATGATAGCCCAGGGCCAGGAAATAAGGCCTCTTGGTTTTGGGTCTTGTCCGCAAAAAACGTATGGCCTCATTTGTGGATTCTATGTCGGGTAAGGTCTTATAGGGTTGGGTTTTCAGATCCACCGGACAGATAAGATTCCGTTTTAACATCCCCAATTTATCGGGACACACAGGCGAGTTCATGTAGCGTTCGGATTTTGGATGAAATGGTGATGTGGACCAACTTAAGGGATAGTCATCGCTGTTGTTCGATGACACACCTGGATGGAATATTTTTCCAATCGAGTAAGTGTAATAGCCCTGGGTCTTAAAATATTGAGGTAAGGTGGTAAAATTGCCGCTTGCGGTACGCCAATAACTGTAGAAATCATAGAGATGTAGAGTATCTGGACGGCGACTGGTCAGCAGGGAATTTCGACTGGGTGCACACAGGGCTTGCTGGTGGTATAAAAAAAATAAATATTTGAAAAAATTCACACATTTTAAAATTGATTCTCCCCACCTGACTATACGCCCTCGTAAAATAGAAGCTTCCATTCAGAAATTTATCCAAATTCGGTGTCTGGGCCAAACGATCGCCATAGGCTCCCAAGGCCGGTCTTAAATCATCAAATATGACCATTACAACATTGTATCGCGTTGAGGCACCCACACCATGCCAACCGCTGCTGCTGCTGCATAGACGTAATATTGAATAGAACACAAATAAATTTCGAAAATAATTTGCTGTTTGGGACATTTTCAATGTCACCACAGATGCGATACCGAACGCTGATGATGATCGCCACCAACCGAACCGAACGCGCCACTACGGTTTTATTCAATATGCGTTTGCAAATGCAACTAAATTGTATAATTTCTCCATCCGTCAGCCATTGGACTTCAAATTATCGGCGGCATTTATTAGTCGTCAACGTCATCTCCGTCATCTCGTCTGGTGGATAATTTCATCATTGCCTTTCTTCAAATTTACTTCACCCACAGCCTTTCTTTCTTTTGCGTTATATTCACTTATTTGCAAAAGATTCAAGTCGGAAGTGTTTGCGGCGTCTGTTTTCATAAATATCATTTCGAAGAAAGTTATGCGAGAATGGATTGCGGTACAGTGGATGCACGGATAAATATGATCGATGTTATCTAAAATACATAGATACACTACTGATGTCATCTAAGTCATATAGATACATTATATTCGTTATGTGTATCCCTATAGATCCATTATCCGCGTTATGTGGACCATGAATATACATTATCCAAATGACACATATACATTATCCGCGTTATCCTAATGACCTATATAAATTATCATTATCCAAATAACATATATACTTTATCCGCGTTATCCAAATGACATATATTCTCTATACATATTATCCACTTTATCCAAATGACATATATGCATTATCCACGTTATCCTAATGACATATATAAATTATCCGCGTTATCTCAATGGCATATGTACGTTATCCACTTTATCCAGAAGACATGTATACATTATCCACGTTATGCTAAAGACATATATAAATTATCCGCGCTATCCGAATGACATATATACATTATCCACGTTATCCTAATGACATATATAAATTACTCGCGTTATCCCAATGACATGATCCCACGTTATCCTAAAGACAAATAAATTATCCGCGTTATCCTAATGACATATTTACCTTATCCACTTCATCCAAATGACATATATACATTATCCACTTTATCCAGATGACTAAACATGCTGTCCACGTTATCCGAATGACATAAATACATTATCCACGTTATCCTAATGACATATATAAATTATCCGCGTTATCCAAATGACATATATACATTATCCACGTTATCCGAATGACATATATACATAATCCACTTTATCCTAATGACATATATAAATTATCCGCGTTACACAAATGACATATATACATTATCCACGTTATCCTAATGGCATATATAAATTATCCGCGTTATCCAAATGACATATATACATTATCCCATTATCCGAATGACATATATAAATTATCCGCGTTATCCCAATGGCTATATTCATTATCCTAAAGATATATATAAATTATCCGCGTTATCCGAATGACATATATACATTATCCACGTTATCCTAATGACATATATAAATTACTCGCGTTATCCCAATGACATGATCCCACGTTATCCTAAAGACAAATAAATTATCCGCGTTATCCTAATGACATATTTACCTTATCCACTTCATCCAAATGACATATATACATTATCCACTTTATCCAGATGACTAAACATTCTGTCCACGTTATCCGAATGACATAAATACATTATCCACGTTATCCTAATGACATATATAAATTATCCACTTTATCCTAATGACATATATATATTATCCACGTTATCTGAATGACATATATACATTATCCACTTTATCCTAATGACATATATAAATTATCCGCGTTATACAAATGACATATATACATTATCCACGTTATCCTAATGGCATATATAAATTATCCGCGTTATCCAAATGACATATATACATTATCCCATTATCCGAATGACATATATAAATTATCCGCGTTATCCCAATGGCTATATACATTATCCTAAAGATATATATATAAATTATCCGCGTTATCCGAATGACATATATACATTATCCACGTTATCCTAATGACATATATAAATTATCCACTTTATCCAGATGACATATATACATTATCCACTTTATCTAAATGACATATATACATTATCCACTTTATCCAGATGACATATACACATTATCCGAGTTATCCGAATGACATATATAAATTATCCACTTTATCCAGATGACATATATACATTATCCACTTTATCTAAATGACATATATACATTATCCACTTTATCCAGATGACATATACACATTATCCGAGTTATCCGAATGACATATACACATTATCCGAGTTATCCGAATGACATATATACATTATCCACTTTACCCAGATGACATATATACATTATCCACGTTATCCGAATGACATATATACATTATCCACGTTATTCTAATGACATATATAAATTGTCGGCGTTATCTAAATGACATACATACATTATCCACGTTATTCAAATGACATATATGCATTATCCACTTTATCCAGATGACATATACACATTATCCGCGTTATCCAAATGACATATATACTGTATCCACGTTATCCAAATGACATATATACATTATCCACTTTATCCAGATGACATATACACATTGTCCACGTTATCCGAATGACATATATAAATTATCCGCCTTATCCAAAAGACATATAAACATTATCCATTTATCCAGATGACATATGCACAATATCCACGTTATTCAAATGTAATGCATTATCCACAATATTAATAAGTTAAAAAAAGTAAGTTCGGCCATGCCGACATTTTTAAAAATAAAATCCGCTTAAAAATTCTATTAAAATCTTAAAAATACAGAATATAGCCGTTATATTGAGGTATATACGACGTGGACCTACATAGGCATTGTTTGCCATTACCATATTCAAATTCGAAACTTGAAATAAACGGTGTATTCACTTGTATCTAAAATATGAAATATACGAAGACCTGGACCTGCATAGACAATTTTCTGTGACAGGCTGTAGCATCAATTACAAACTTCAAATACGACATTTCAAACAATTTCGGTGGGCATTGTACCTAAACTCGTCAAAATACCGAATATAGGGAGGTACTGATATATGGGGCCTATGCGAAGACCTGGACAATTTTATGTCTTAGTCTGTAGTATACATTACGAACTTCAAATACCATATTTGAAGCAATTCCGGTGAATAATGACACTAAAATCATCAAAATACCGAATATTGGGAGGTACTGATATATGGGGCCTATACGAAGACTTGGACCCGCATAGACAATTTTCTGTCATAGGCTGTAGTATCCGTCAAGATCTTCAAATAACAAATTTAAAACATTTCCGTTAATAATGTCGCTAAAATCATAAAAATACCGAATATCGGGAGGTGCCGTTATATGGGGGCTATACGAAGACGTGGACCTACATGGTCCATTTTTAATACCAAAAGTCCTGCAGACATAATAAACATTTAAGAAACATTTTATAAACCTACTTCATTTCGTTTGGAAGCTGGAGAAAATTTCCGCAGACGGACAAACGGATAGACGGACGGACATTGCTAAATCGACATAGAATTTTATGCTGATCAAGAATATATATACTTTGTGGGGTCTGAATTGTATTTTTCGAGGTGTTGCACACGGAATGACAAACCTTATATACCCTCCATAATATGGTGGAGGGTTTTGTAAAAATTCACTCCTGATTTTAGGTATTGCTGAGATTTTTGGCCATAATTTCAGACGCTTGACCCATGAAAATTAAAATCTCAAAATTACATGTCTTCAACGTGACCCTGGTTCTTTTTAATTCCCTGCATATCATGTTACCTCTGAGTTTTCAACTTTGCCTTCAGTTTTAGTGTTCTTCTAAGAACTATAATTAAATTTTATGGATTGTAACTACAACTGCTTTTCATCACGAAAAGAGAGGAGGACCCACTTCCCCCTACTCCTACATACATGCATTACATTTTCTTTTAATTTCTTTTTATTTAAAGACACTCTTATAAAATGGTCATCAGACATATCACTCAGAACCTTTCCCGCTGTCATTTAGGTTGCTTACCCTAAACAAAAAAACAACAAGAATAACAACTTACTTTGCTCCCCCCCTCCAAGTGCGGCATAAAAGTCAAAAGAGAAAAAAAATAGATAATTCAAGATAAACAAATCACTTTTATTGTACTTTTGAATACGTTACTACTTACACTCATGATATCTAGAGGAGGAAGTACTTCCGGTCGCGGTTAAATGAATACACCAACAAACAACAACAAGAACAACGACAACAGCGACAACGAGCAGTGGAAACTAGCAGTAGCAACAAGCATATCGAGCGTTCATACCGATTTCTCCATATTTTTGGTTTTGTATCTACGAGTAAAATAATAATGAAAAACACACGCACACACACACATATACACACACCTACAGATACATGCATGTAGTTATGATGTGCCTGTATGTTGTCATAATGCATACGAAGCGAACGAAACAACCGGCCACCATCACATTCTCGTTGCAGTGCATTGAATGTGAGGTCTTTATTAGAGTGGTTTTCAGATCTGAGGAATCTAGAAAAAAATTGGAAAATCGGGTAGTAGAAGAGCCCTGGGAGTTATTTTTTACTGGTCTTCTATATAAGACCTGTTGATCTACTGGTCTTCTGGAGAAGACCTAGTCATTTCTAGTGGACCATATTGTCTTCTCTACAAGACAGATAGGTTTTTGGAAGACCTATTGATGTTCCAGAGAAGACTTGGGGCTTACTGGTCTTCTAAAGGACGCCCACTGGTCTTCTAAAGGACAACTACTAGTCTTCTGGAGAAGATCTATTGGTTTTCTGGAGATGACCTACTGCTCCACCTACCTATAGAAGTCCTATATAACCTCTTCTACTCATAGAAAGTCTCTAGAATAACTTCTAACTATAGAAGACCTATATAAGGCATTCTATCTATAGAAGGCCTTCTGGTCTTCTAAAGGACACTTACTGGTCTTCTAAAGTAGACCTACTGGTCTTCTGGTCTTCTCTATTGGTTTTCTGGAGATGACCTATGGGACTTCTGGAGAAGATCTACTGGTCTTCTAAAGAAGACCTACTGTTCCACCCACCTATAGAAGTCCTATGGAACCTCTTCCATTCATAGAATGTCTCTAGAATAACTTCTAACTATAGAAGGCCTGTACGAGGCCTTCCATTATCAAAGGCCTTTGGGCGGTCGTCCATCTTTAGAAGGATGAAGGCCTTCCATTTATAGAAGGCTACTTGGAGGTCTTCCACCTAAATATAAATAATAATATAGAAAGACTCTGGAAGGTCATCCATCTATAGAAGACCTCGGGTGGGCCTTCCACTTATAGAAGGTATCTAGGAAGTTTCAATTTATAAAATACCTGTGGTAGGTCTTTCATCTATAGGAGGCCACTAGAGACTACGAGACTCCTCCTATTCATAAAAGATCTCTAGAAGGACTTCTACCTATAGAAGGCCTTTCATCTGCAGAAGGCCCCTTGGAGTTCTTCTATCTATAAAAGATCTCTCGGAGGTCTTCCATTTACAGAAGGCTTCTAGGAGGCCTTCCATCCATAGAAAGCCTCAGGGAGGCCTTCCATCTTTAGAACGCCTTGTGGGAGGTCTTTGATCTATAGAAGTCCCCTAGGAGGTCTTTTGTCTATGTAAGGACTCTTGGAGCTATTCCATCTATAGAAGGCCTCTGGACAGCCTTCCATATGTAGAAGACCCCTCGGAAGTCTTCAATTTATAAAAGACCTCTGGGAGGCCTTTCATCTGTAGAAGGTCACTAGAAGGTCTTCCATCTTTAGAAGGCCTCCTAGAGGTCTTTTATAAATGGAAGACTTTCTAGAGGCTTTCTATAGACAAGCCTCTGGGAGCTCTTCGATCTATAGAAGGGCTCTAGGAGGTCCCCCTTGTAGGTTTTTATAAGGCCTCTTGGAGCTCTTCCATTTATAGAAAGCCTTTGGACACCCTTCCACCTATAGAAGACCGCTATGAAGTCTTCAATTTATAAAAGGCCTCTGGGAGGCCTTTCATTTATAGAAGGCTACTAGAAGGTCTTCCATCTTTAGGAGGCCATCTAGATGTGTTTTATAAATGGAAGACTTACTAGAAACCTTCTATAGATGGAAGGCCTCCTAAAGGTCTTTTTTAAACAGAAGACTTCCTACCGGCCTTCTATAGATGGGAGGGCGTCCAAGCCTCTGGGAGCTCTTCTATCTATAGAAGGTCTTTAGGAGGTCTATAGAAACCCTCTTGGATATTTCCCGTCTATAGAATGTCTCTGGGAGGCCTTCAATCAATAGGAGGCCTCCTATCTTTAGAAGACTTATTGGGGTTCTTCCATCTATAGGAGGCATCTAAGAGGTCTTCGATCTACAGAAAGCCTCTAGGGGGGATTCCGCCTATATAAGGCCTCTTGGAGGTCTCCCTTTTATAAAAGGCCCCTACGAATTTTTTCGTCCATAGATGGCCTCCCATGTATCGAAGGTCTTGAAGGCCTCTAGAAGGCCTTCTACCTATAGATGGCCTATGGTATATCTCCCATCTATAGTCCTTCTATCTAGGAATAAGTCTACCATCTATAGAATACCTCTGAGAAGTCCTTCATTTATAGTAGGATTCTATGAAGCCTTTTATCTGCAGAAGTCCGTTAGGAGGTCTTTTATCTAAATAAAGCCTCTAGGAGGCCTTCATCTTTAGAAGCCTTCTAGATTCCCTTCTACCTATAGGATGCTTTTAGAAGGTCTTCCGTTTTTGGAAGGCTTCTGGGAGCTGTTGCATCAACAGATGTCCCCTAGCAGGTCTTCTAAATATAGCAGGCCTCTGGGACTTCACTCATTTATAGAGAACCTCTGAGAGGTCTGCTATATATAGAAGGCCTCCTAGGGGACATCTGTTGATGGAACAGCTAATGAAGTTCAATGAGGTTTTTCTTCCACCTATAGAAGCCCTCTGGGAGGCCTTACATCTGTAATGGGTCTTCAGTCTATAAATTGCCTCGTAGAGGTCTCCCATCGATAGAAAATCTATTGGAAATAGAATTTCTCAGTTGAATTATATCTCCTTCCTCCCCTCCGTTCCACCCTAATATCGCGCAAACAACGTGTGAGTTACGTATAATCATACTACCCCTGATAAAATTGATAAGTTCTTGGAAACAATTAGCCAATAAAACGTGTACAATTATTGCACTGTAAGCATAAGTGAATTTGACATTCTTTAGTTTGACTTTATTTTATTTTTCCAGTTAAAACTGTCTGGAGCTGAGTATACAATTATTTACAAAAGTGTGTTAATCAAATTTCATTTAAAATAAACTTATGCTAACACTGCAATAATTAATTAACAAATAATACCTGTAGAATAAGTAAATTAAAAATGTAAAAGTTAGTCTTAGTTCCATCCTCTTAGTCGCAAGTCGACGAATAAATAAATAAAAGAAAGAAAAAAAAAAAGAAAACAATTTTTTTTTTTAATAAACATAATTAATCAGGTTATCTAATTGGCGCAGTCGGTAGGATCCTTTAGGAATTAAAAAGGATCCAGTGAAACGTACCTAAATTATAAATAATTAAATAAATTCTGCGAATCCTACGGGACCCTCCAGGATTATAAAATAAACAATAGTGCAGTGAATAATTCAAAAAATTAAACACCACTAAAATAAACAATAGTGCAGTGAATAATTCAAAAAATTAAACACCACTAAAATAAACAATAGTGCAGTGAATAATTCAAAAAAATTGAACACCACTAAAATAAACAATAGTGCAGTGAATAATTCAAAAAATTGAACACCACTAAAATAAACAATAGTGCAGTGAACATTTAAGTTAAGTGGACACCACTAGATAAAGGAAGTCAATCCTTTTTTTTTTTTCTTTTAAAAGTGTATTCGCAAAGGCAAAAAGTCTTCGACAAACGAAGAAGAATGGAGGAACAAGCTCACATCGCATCCGTAAATGTGGCAGAAGAACTAGCCAGAAAGGATCAACAATTGGAACGGTTACGCCAAGCATATCTAGAATTGCAACAGCAAACACAAGAACTACAACAACAACAGCGTAACCCGGTGTTATATGATACACAATCAAATAATGCAAAAGACAACATTTTAAAAACGATAAATCATCTACCCATTTTCACCGGCACCGGAGAAGTAACGGTGAACAGCTTTTTTAGTAGCACTGAATACTTGCTGTCAACTATACAAGATGAAAATATTAAGAAGGAGGCCATAAGAACAATATTCTATAAAATAATCCAGGGACAAGCTAAAGACGTCATAATAAACATACCCACACCGGACAACTGGCAACTAATCAAAGAGACTTTAAAACTAAGGTATAGACCGAACGTGGAACCACACAATATATATAGGATGATAGCCAACTTAAAAGTAAATTCGGTAAGTGAATTAATAATAGAGTTGCAGAATCTAAAATATAAGGCAGATGAGTTAATAGTTTATTACCGAAATGACCACTATATTGACTTATCAAACGTGGACAGTCTTTTAGTAAATACAGTTAAGGAAATGACACAAGGTACACTGTTAGACAAAATTTACGAAGAAAGAAACATTAATGATATATTAAAAATATTAACAAGAAGGAGATTTGAAGACACATGCATTAGGCCAGAATATAGGAAGTTTAGGACTAAAGACGACGTAACATTTAGACAAAATCGGTCGCAAAATAGGAATAATTTTAATCCGCAGATTAACAGTAATAACCAGGGATATAATCAACGGAATTGGTTAGGACAAAATAATTTTAGGTCGGATATTAGACAAGAACGAAATAATAATGATAATAATAAAACCTATAATAATAATAATAACGATAACTATAATAGGAATAGAAACTTTAATCATTCAGGACAGTATAGAGTCCAACAAAATAACAGTTATAATAATAACTATAATAATAGGAATCAAAATGGAAATTTTAATCATTCAGGACAGTATAGAGTCCAACAAAGTAACTATAATAATATGTCGGGAAATTTCAGAAGGTTTCAGCAACAGGTAGGAAACCCTAGGCCAAATTTCAGCCAAAATCGCTTGAATCAACCTAGGCAAGACCAGCAGGAACCTATGGAAATAGACAATATAGAAGTAGATAATTATCGAGTAGTAGGAAACTCTGAACCAAATTTACATCAGGATAACGGACAAGACCAAAGACAAAATAATTTTTTTCGGAAACAACCTCCGATTGTTTACCTACCATAACCATTACGATTAATAAAAGGAAATATAAAGCTT